CCATCGTTCTTGTTTCCTCTAGGTTAATGAGACAAACTCAAGATGGTCACTGAGGTTAGAGAGTTAAAGGTCAAGAGGAGCCACTCTTTGGATGTGCTGGGGGAGAAGTGAAATAATTGTCCATCTCTCTGCATGATGAACCAATGTGTGAGGTTATCACAGGTCCTAAAGCCAAACTATACAAATTTGGATCTTGCCTCTCCCCCTTACTAGCTGTATGGTCTTAATTCCTCTATGCATCAGTTTCCCTATCAGTAATATGGGTATAAAAATCATGTAGTTGTTGTAAGGAATACATATATGAGTTAATACATAAAGAAATACATAAAATGAACTGACACATAAAGTCATACTTGGAAGAGTACCTAGCACTCAGGATACATTCAAATGTTAGCCATTTTGTAATTATCTTTTTTAAAAACTATTGATAGCCTGTGAGATGGGTCCCATGCAACCTCAGGAACTAAAGAATTTTCCTTGGTTATGTCTGTTTCGGTTCCTTTACCTCCATTATCTGTGCCCAGTCCTACAGGGCTTTGCTGCCAGCTAGGCTTCCAAGATGCAAGTTGAATCGATAGAATAATCCCCCATGATGACTTAAGATGTTTCTCCTCCCAGGAACATTTGCATTTTTATAGGCAACTCTGGAAGATAGAATAACTTTCTGGTTCTGATTAATTATTTGCTGTTTCAGGCCATTCAGGCAGGGCTGCTATACTGCACAACTCCAGGGGGTGCCCTGCTAGGCAGTTAATGCAGGAACTAATTTGGTACAGTGGATTTCAGACCCTGCTCACTGGAATCTCTAGGATTATGGAGGGAATAGAGAGAGTACACGAAGGACCCTATTTCTCCCTACCATTTGCAGGATCTTTTATCTAATTTCCATATAGGACATCTGTCTACTTTAAAAAGAAGGTTTGAAGTTCATGGGTTTAGGGTAGGATACTTTTTTTTAATGAATGATTGATAGTAAGATATTTCTCACTAGGAGGGCATCTAAATCCCTGTGGCTTTGACAAAACCATCCTGATTTGGGATAATGTATGGAATCCTCGTGGTCAAGTAGCCAGTTACTGTTTACAACACATGCCTTCTCTTTATCTTTGCCAGGTGATCTGGACCCTGTGAGGCTCAGTGGAAACCAGGCGTCATTGAGTGATTGACACAGTGAATATTGAGACAGCCGAGTTTCTCAAACGCCGACACTCTCCTGAATTTCCTCTCCACAAATATGTTTACTTTGCAAAGCCAAAGGGATTTGCATGAAACTTTTTTTTCTGCTTATGAAAACAACAGAACAAAATTCCTTACATTCTCTCTGTTTTCTACTTTGACCTTCAGGATCTTACCTTTCAGTCTTTTGTTCCACATTCACACAAATGCACACCTTTTAAATATGGCCAATCGCTGTTAGAACTGGAAGAGGTCTTATAAAAGGCATCTTGAACAAGGTCCCACCAGGGAAGAGATTTTTTTTAATCATGTGTCATAGAAGCCAACATTTTAAAGCGTTGTAAATGGAAATATATTGTAAAATTTCTTTAAAATACAGAGCACATCTTATAGAGACTGGCATCTGAAAATTGCCTGAGTTAAGTTACATAAAATGCCTGAGGTGGTGTAAGGTAAAGGTTGAGTCCCCAAGTAAAAATGACAGGAAATATCAGCAGTGGAAGGATTGCAGGGGTGGAAAGGATGCCTGCCCTACCAGGTATTGTCTTCTTTCATCAAAGGCCTTATTTTCTCTTCCTGTGAATAGATCTAATCCCCATTCACTTTTCTCATTCAATCAATTATGTTTACTGCTTCTGATACTTTCTCTGCTTCACTGGCCTCCAGTCATGAATCATTAACACAGAACACAACAAGCCCTTATTAATTTGTATCCGGGGATGGCTGGGCCAAAGAGCTGAGTAGGTCGTTGGTTGTGCTTTCCAGATGGAAAGAGATCAAGAACTGGCTGTGATCCTCAGTCCTGATCAGTCCTTTAAACTGATTCAAAAGGGAGCTATGTGACAGGGGCTTTTGGGGTAGTGAACGGGGCTGGGGTGTGCATGGGCTGTAGGAAATTTTTGTCTGTCCTCCCAGTCTTGGACTAAAAGTTGGTCATTTCAGTCCCTTACCTTAGATATACACATTGGTTTGGTCACAGGCTAAAGTCCTCTAGCCAAGGCTGTATGAGGCCCATCAGCTGGGGAGATGGCTCCTTTGAATTGGTGGTGACCGTGGGCTCATCTTAATTAATATGCTTCATGGGGTTACCAAGAAAGAAGCAATCCAAAGTGGGATACTTGTCTGAGACAAAAGCTAAGAAGAATATACTACATGGACACGTGGGCTTTGACATTTTTTGTTCTTTACTCTCATCCTCCACCCTTTAGTACAGTAGCCTAAGTGGCTCTTAGCCTTGACCCAAGACTGCACTCCTTCAGAATGGAGCAAGACTGAGACTACTTGAGTACCCCTAGAGGGAGAACCACACAGCCAAGACAGGTCAAGTTTGTATTCATATCAAACTCAAGACAGTATGGTCAGATAAAGGGAACAGCAGAACTCCTTTTCCTGCCCGTCCCTCGCTTCCTCCTCAGGGCTCACTTCCCTTTCCTGTTCACCTTTTAGGTAGCTCAGTGCTCTCACACATTCTCCTTCTTGCTCTTTGGTTCTATTAACTTAAGTCAATTTGTTGTCTTTTGCTCTTGGTTTACGAGTGAGTTTTACCATGGTTACCATTCTCAGAGAGGGCCCTCACATTTCAGTAATCCTTTATAGCACTGTTGAAAGATGATTAGTGTTCCATAAGTTGTTAATAGGTGTTCTAAGAAAGAGGGTTCTGCCATCAAATGTCTTCTACAAAGCTATGTTCTACACGTATATATATTTTTTACTCTTAAAAGTGATCAAAACTGATCTTAAACAGATTTAAGCAAAAGGCGGGGGGAAGAGTAGTTGGTAATTTCTTGACTTATATAACTGGGAAATCCAGAGGGGGAGCTGGCCTCAAGGACTTCACCAAGAACCCAGACTGTGTCATCATGTCTTCCGTGTCTCTCTTCACTGGCACCCCTACTCTCGAATCTTTTAGCTGTGCTTGTACCTGTGAATTTTGTAGTTTTCTTGTGTGGATGGCTTTCTACCTTGCACTGGAGTGATGGTGGTGACGGGAGGAAGACATTCACAGAGATTTTCAGGCTAACACCATCCCAGCTTAGTGACTTCCTAGATGAAACATAGAGCCTTTATAACCAGGAATATGTATGGAAAATCCCAGGACAGGCTCTCGCTTGCCTGACTTGGATTGTAGTCTAAATCCAGGCCAGCCACCACAGCCAGCATTACTGGGGTACTGTGATTTGTTACGATTTGGTTCCAAGGCCACTTCTTGTGACCAGGGAATCAGCTTATTATGATTGGCAACTCTGCCAGGAATGGGTAGAAAGTATAAGGGGAAGTTCATCAGAGGAAAGAGGTTATTGTAGACAGAATTGGGAGACACGATGCTGAGCACATAAAAACAGCAGCTGTCCCTAAATACCTTTGCACATTGAAATCACTTGGGGAGATCTAAAAAATACTGATGTATGAGTCTCACCCCCCCATGATTCTGATTTAATTTATCTGGGATGTGGCCTGGACATTGGGGTTTTAAAAATTCTCCTGGGTGATTCTAATGTGCAGCCATGGTTGAGGACTCCTTGTTAATTGCTTTTCCAGGTCATCATTTTACAAGGTACCAAAGATTAATCCTTCTAAATCTCAGTCCTCTGTTCCAAATAAAGCCCTGACTCCAGATGAATGTATCCAAGAGTCACTAAAATTGAATTCCAAACTCTCTTTCCAGTCTTATCTTCCACTACTATTTTATTTCCACTTTATGTTCCAGCAAATTGTAGGGTGTCCATCGGTCCCCAAACATCTCTAAAACACCTGCAGTTCCCCATGTATGGTCATCCCATTTCTTGAGCTTCGAACAGAGCTGCCCAGTAGAATTTTCTGAAGTGATGGAAATGTTCTTCTACTCTGTCCACTGTGGTAGCCACTAGCCACAGTGACTATTGAACACTTGAAATGTGGCCAGTGTGACTGAATTTTTAACTTTATTTCAGTGTACTTAATTTAAATTTAAATAGCCATGCCACAACTTGAAGGACCCGCAACTAAGATACACAACTATGTACTGGGGAGATTTGGGGAGATAAAGCAGAAAAATAAATAAATAAATAAATAGCCACATGTGGCTAGTGGCTGCTTGGATAGGGCAGATAAAATGCTTTATCCAATCCATCTCTGTCAACATTCTGTCAAAATGTGCAGGGTTAATTTTGTGTAACCCTCCTGTCCTGACGTTTTCTCTGATTTCTCCAGCTGAGAAACTTCACTTCTTCCTGTTAATTACCGAGCACTCTAATTGGACCCTAGCAGTGGCCTATTTATATTGTCCCATATTGTTCTTTCTGTCACCCCTGCCCCACTCCAGATGTTAGAAATTTCTTGAAAGAAGCGACTGATTAGAGGGTTTGTGCTTAATAAGCATTTGTTGAATAAATGCAGACAAAATTGCACCAACCACAAACGTCTGTATGCACTGCGGAAGCACAAAGACGTATATATTGTGAGGCAACAGACAGATGCACGTTAGCTTCCTCTTTTTGAAAGTGTTGCCAGTTAGATGGGAAGGCACATGTCCTGACTGTGGGCGAGAAACTGGGTCAGTAGAAGAGGTGGGAGAGAATGACTAATCCATAAAGTGACCACAGAGGGTTAGCCTATCTTATCTGGCTTGGAGGCAAAAATAATGGTGGAGATGGGAAATACTAATGATTTTCATTAAAGTAAATGAGGGGGCGTGGCCACTCAGCGTACACTCTCAATTAACACTTCATGAAGAATTCTGCAATCAGTCCTGGTAAAATGCGTAGTTATAAATTTGTCATGACCCACGTTTTTTTCCAGAATTCGTTTGTAAAATGATGAACTCTCACTTCCTAAATTTTCCACAGATGCTACCGTTGCCGGGGAAATGTCACTGTTAGAGAATAGAAAACTATTATTCCAAAGAGTATTGAAGACTGACTGAATCAGGTCTGGAACATTATTGAAATGGTAAGATAAACTCAGGTACTCTCTGGTAAAAGGAAAATTCTTTTTTCAAAAGTGTAGCCCCTTCTGAATTATGGCCAAATGTCACGGAATCATTTTCAGTGAAATTTTATCTATTAACAGCGAGGAGAAGGGAGGATGCTCTGCGCTCCTCCGGGAGCCCTGCAGCTGAGGTTTCTCTCCCCTGAGATCCATGGTAATGGAAGCAGCTGAAGCTGGAGGTCATTAACATTTTGAGAACACCGCAAACTGACACTGTGTAATGTTATGACATTTCTTCCCAAGACATTTAATCTCCTTTAATCAGTGTTTATGTTGAAGATACTTCATAGTTATTTGCTTTCACATAAAAATGGAACACTTTGGCATGTCATTAACATAAGAGTAATTTACTTATTACTCATTGCAATTATTTCTAGAGCTCTCTCTCTCCTGTCCTCTCCTCCATTCCTCTCTCCTTCTCTCCCTCCCTCCTTCCCTTCTCCTTTTCTCCTTTTTCCGTGTCTTCATTGTTTCTGGCTTTTGTTTTCAATTGTACTATTTTTGAAAGTGCTTCCAGTTTTTCCTTCTGCAGATAATCTTCCTGGCAAGTTGGTAGTCTTGGGGTTTTCGTGCCCTCTTCTTGGTAAACTTCAGAGCCTGGAAGAAAACTAACCTCACCTCTCTGAGAAATGCTCATGGTCCCCATTGTCCTTGGTCAGGAACGGCTTATTCTCTGCTGAATGGTGCTCCATGGATGACTTAGCTGAACATAATTTTCTTCTCCCTTGCTTTCCTCCTCTCACTTGCTTCGGATATTGTTCTGAGCTTCTAGCATCTGTCTTCTTGCCTCCATTTCTCTTTCCTTCTTGTGTGGGGGTTACTTTATCTTCCTTTAAAGCTACTTCAGCTTTTCTTCCACCCTCAAAACTTTTCACTAAATGCAAAACTGATGATTGTTGACTTTTTTTATATCAGAGAGGGAATATATTCCTTAGCATAAACAAGTGGTTGCACATTTCAATCCATGAATTAGGCATAATTTTCCTTATTTTTAAATAAATGAACAATTTCTATTATAAATCTCTTATTATGCCAAGTAGGCAAAACCTAATTTCAGTTTAGGGAAGTGTTTCTCAACCTTGAGATCACTGATATTTTGGGCTGGGCCATTCTGTGTTTTGGGAGCTGTTCTGTGCACTGCAGGGCGTTCAGCAGCATCCTTGACCTCTGCCTACCAGATGCCAGTAGCACTTCCTGTTGTAACACCAAAACTTGTCTCTAGACATTGCCAAATATCTGCTGGGGGGCAAAATAGCCCCACACTGAGAACAACTGTTCCTTTCTGTGGAGTTATGTCTAAGTTCTAGGGCAAGATTTAAGGAGGGTGGAGAAGGCCTTTCCTTGAAATCATTCTTCATTTGCATAGACTTATCTGAGGGGTCCCTATTCCCATTGTGACTTTGGGCCCCTGGTGCATCCACCATGATCTGACGAAGGGCTCTCACAGCGGCTGTCTCACTCTGCTGTCGGGCACAAGGGCTGTTCCTGCGTTATTGCAGGATGCTCTGTGAGGTGGCCTCAGGTCTGTCCCGGTGCCATGCTAGGGAGCCAAGCTGATGGACCAGGAATGCAAGCATCCTGCTGACTCCAGACTCTCCCCTGGGGCTAGGGGCCCTGTTCCGTCTGATCTTGGATTCTCAGTTCCCATGGGGAGGACTTCCTGCAGGACACAGAGTTCAGGGCCCACTGTCATCTAAGGTCTGCTTACGCTGTGGCAGCTCTCGTGCCCCATGGTCCTGACCATCTTTACGTAGTCTGAGGACAAGCTCACCTGGCTCTTTATCTGGTTTTCCAAATATAATATTTTATGGCCTAGAAGTTATGTGCTTCATAGTTATACTTTTAACACCAAAAAGATTTTCTCTGCTTCTCTGCTGTATTATCCCTTCCTGGAGGCAATAAATTCTGCTGAGGGAATGGGTAGAAAAGAGGATACAAGAAAATAAGAGAAAAAAGTTTTGGTCAAAATTTCAATTTATATAAAGAAACAGCATCGCTTGCTTATTCCAATGCTACAATTCTGTAGGAATAGAAATATTTGGAAATCTAGATGAAGAGCCATCTTATCCTCAGCCTACAGAAGGATGGTTAAGACTGTGGGGAGCCAGGAGATTCACAGGGAAGCGAAGAGCTTAGATGACGGCGGGCTCCTGAGCTGGGGGGCTGTGCCAGGACTCCCACGGTGGAATTGGCAGTCCAAGATGACATAGTGTAATTTCACCTGCATACTACGGTTTTGCTTTCTTTTAATGAGCCAAGAGTTCCTTAGTAATCCTCTGTGTTTCTGGTCATCTGGTGGTCATTGGTCTTTGCAAGACCTTTGGTCCTCTTTTCTAATTTCTTAATATATATTTGGTTTATATTCATTTACTTTAAAGCATTAGTGCAAACCATGCATTATTTTTTGTAGTTTTAATTTACATGCATTGTCTTGTGTTTCTTATTTTTTTCACTCAACACTCTGCATTTAGCATCTGGTGGGTCTAAAGAGATATCTCTTTTTTGTTTTAATTTGCATTCCTATGATTACTAATGATATTGGGCATGAATCATATATTTTGTTAAAACTTTGGGTTTCTTTGACTATGAAGTGACTCAAATATCCTTTACCCATTTTTAAAATTTGGGATTTCTATGCTTATGCATGAGTTCCTGGTATAGTCTAGATAATAATTTCTTTGTGATTTTAGACACGATAAATATCATGTCTCTGCAACATCTTTGTGCTAACTTTGTTCACAGAAATTCTTAATTTGATGCAATTAAATCCATTAATGATGCTTTTGGAATTTTGTTTCAGAAGTTCTTCCCTAACCCTGGGGGACATTGTCTTCTGCCTTTATGATTTCCTTTGGTTTCTTTCTTTTCTTTTTTTTTTAAAGATTTTTTTATTTTTTTCCTTTTTCTCCCCAAAGACCCCGGTACATAGTTGTATATTTTAGTTGTGAGTCCTTCTAGTTGTGGCATGTGGGACGCTGCCTCAGTGTGATTTGATGAGCAGTGCCATGTCCGCGCCCAGGATTCGAACCAATGAAACACTGGGCCGCCTGCAGCAGAGCACGCGAACTTAACCACTCGGCCACGGGGCCAGCCCCCCATTTGGTTTATTTCTTTAGTATATTGGATCCCATCTTTGTATGTGGTAATAGGTATGGATTTTTCTCCATAATAAACAACTTCCCTATCATCATTTACTAAACAGTCTGATTTGCGGCGCTGTCTTTATTATGTAGTAAATTTGAGATATGAGTCTATGTCATCGCAATCCTGATCTGTAGGTCAATTTGGGCTTTTTGCATTAATATCATACTGTTTTAAACATTATGACCTTTCAGTGAGTCTTAGTAGTTGTTAGGCCAAGTGTTCATCTCATTTGCTTATCATGGCAATATTGTCTAGAAACATAATTTAGGGTTGCTTGTAAGTAAATAAATATAGACTGTCAGACCACACACCACTTTTTTGGAGGCTAAACCAATGGAGGTACAGTCATGTGTCACTTAATGATAGGGACATGTTCTGAGAAGTGCATCATTAGGCGATTTCGTCATTATGCGAACATCATAGAGTGTACTTACACAAACCTAGGTGATCTAGCCTACTACACACCTAGACTATATGGTACTAATCCTATGGGACCACCATCAGTATATTACGTGGTCCGTCATTGACTAAAATGTTGTTATGCTGCCCACGACCGTATAAGTCTTAGGAGGTGTTGGGCCTTTTGCATTCTGGGGCAGAGAACGCAAACTGAGTTGGAATCAACATTAGATTCTGGGATAGGAACTCGGACTTTGGGCTACATGGCTTTTAAGCCACATGATTAAAAAAGCACTAGTTTATAGAAATTCCAGAATTCAAAAACATAATAAATGAATTTAAAGCTCAATGAAAGTGTTATATAGGGTAACAGAAACAAATAAATAGAAAATTAGTAAAGTGTAATATAGATCTCCAAACATCTTATAAAACACAGAAGATAGACAAATAGATGGAAAATATGAGAGGTTGATAAGCATGGAAATTGAATAATAGGGCCAACATCTACATAGTCAGAATTCATGAAGAACAAAATCTATATAATTTTGTCTATATAAATTCATGATAATAATAATAATAGTAATGTCCAATTTGTGGAGTGAAAACAAAGCAACAAAGAGCTAAATGTTTGGGCAACAATAGCTAGGAACTGAGAGGAAGGGACTGGAGTTATGTTTGAAGGTCATCGTATTCTTGGGCAGAGGATAAAGGTACTGATCACTGTCAGACTTTTCTAAGTATGTACATTAAAATTTCAAGATAATCACTGAAAAAGAAAGATTGAATGTTTATATCCCAAAGTTGTAACAGGAAAAAATGGAAAGCAAAATGGAAAAAAATCAATCTGAAAGAAGACATGAAAAGAGGAAAAAATCACAAAGTTTGGGACAAATAGAACGTACAAAATAGGGTGATAGAAAGAAATCTAAGTATATGAGGAAACACTGGAAACTGACATAGATTGTCAGACTACGTGCTTTTAAAAATTCAAGCTACATGCTACATTCTGTTTAGAAGAGACATACCCAACACATAAGCACACATAGAACAACCAAACTGACAAAGCTATTAGATTGAAACCTCTGAAGTTGCCAATTTTGAGCTACAAAACCAGCAATTTTCCATGGTTCTAACTAATATAACAGTATCAGAAACATAGACCTTAAGACAGAAAACATCATATGAGATAAAAAATATCATTATATATTATTACAGGTTTGAATCCACTAGGAGAATGAAATACCTCTTAAGAATACAACAGCAAAGATTAAAAATATATAAAGCAAAAAACTGACAGAATTACAAGAAGGAACAGAAATATCCGGAATTGCAGTGGGATATTTCAACACATCTCTCTTAGTTATTGATAACTGGGCCAATGGCTATGTGAAACGGTTGAATAACACAGTTAAGAAGCA